GTCTAATCATTCATAAATTTTAAAACATTTCCATTTTGTTATAACAAAAAAAAAACGAAACAAAAATACTTGTTCATCATATTAATAAATAGGAAACAATAATATAATAGATACATAAGTATATTATTACAAACTTTTATTCAAACTTATTTTCTAATATACATATACATTTAATTACTTTTTTTTTTCTTTCATTTTTGCTTCTACATTTCATATTGTTATTATATAAATACACACAACAACAATCATCATCTATCAATAGATTCTTTATCATATTGTTTTTGTTGCTCATAATAGTATACAAATGATAGCATAAAGATTTTAATATAATTGACAAAAATGTTCAGACAGTACATAGACGTCCTCAAATTATCGTAAGGTGATAGAAGAATATTTCGTGAGAAAAATTCTTTTTCTGTCAAATTCACTTTTCAAATACGTTAGTGTTTGAGATTTTCTAACTTGTGTTGTAAATGTTCATATTATAACACTTACAGCTCTATTCGGAGAGTTTATGTGAATCAGCATTGCGAATATGTGATGGATTGTCATCCAATACATATATAGCTAAGCTGTTTTGCTTTGCTTATCTGATTGATTCTGTCAGCGCTATATGCTCAAGTAAAAGATTAAGCCATGCATGTATAAAGTTCATCATTTTGAGAAACTGCGAACGGCTCATTAGAGCAGATGTTATTTATTTCGTATTTTTCGAGGATAACTGCGGTAATTCTGGAGCTAATACATGCATATTAACCCTAACTTTTGGAAGGGTGCAGATATTAGTACAAATCAATCGTTTCTGACGTTGTTTGTTGACTCTGAATATCGTAGCTTTTCGACGGTTTTATCGTCGATAGTCGAAAAATGTGTCTGCCCTATCAACCAGATGGTAGTCTATTAGCCTACCATGGTTATCACGGGTAACGGAGAATCAGGGTTCGACTCCGGAGAGGGAGCCTTAGAAACGGCTACCACATCCAAGGAAGGCAGCAGGCGCGTAACTTATCCACTACTTCAGTGAGATAGTAACTAAAAATAAAAAAGCCAATCCTATGGATCGGTTATTTCAATGAGCTGAGCTTAAATAGCTCTACGAGGACCCAGTGGAGGGCAAGTCTGGTGCCAGCAGCCGCGGTAATTCCAGCTCCACTAGTGTAAAGCGTTATTGCTGTAGTTAAAAAGCTCGTAGTTGGATCTGAGACATTTACTCTGATTCGGCTCTGCCGTTAATCAAGGTTGTGTCTATTTTGCTGGTTTTCTGCAGATACCCTCTGTAGTGACTAGCGAGTTTACTTTGAATAAATCAAAGCGCTCAAAGCAAGCGATTGCTTGTATGTGCTATCATGGAATAATAGAAAAGGACTTCGGTTCTATTTATTGGTTTAAGAATCGAATTAATGATTAAGAGAGACAAATCGGGGGCATTCGTATCCCTGCGCGAGAGGTGAAATTCGTGGACCGCAGGGGGACGTCCAAAAGCGAAAGCATTTGCCAAGAATGTCTTCATTAATCAAGAACGAAAGTCAGAGGTTCGAAGGCGATTAGATACCGCCCTAGTTCTGACCGTAAACTATGCCATCTAGCGATCCGATGAGGTATTCGTGTCTCGTCGGGGAGCTTCCCGGAAACGAAAGTTTTTCGGTTCTGGGGGTAGTATGGTTGCAAAGCTGAAACTTAAAGAAATTGACGGAAGGGCACCACCAGGAGTGGAGCCTGCGGCTTAATTTGACTCAACACGGGAAAACTCACCCGGCCCGGACACCGTTAGGATTGACAGATTGAAAGCTCTTTCTCGATTTGGTGGTTGGTGGTGCATGGCCGTTCTTAGTTGGTGGAGCGATTTGTCTGGTTTATTCCGATAACGAGCGAGACTCTAGCCTACTAAATAGTTACTGGATTTCCGAGTCTAGATAACTTCTTAGAGGGATAAGCGGTGTTTAACCGCACGAGATTGAGCGATAACAGGTCTGTGATGCCCTTAGATGTCCGGGGCTGCACGCGCGCTACACTGGAAAATTCAGCTGGTCTTCCATTACCGAAAGGTATTGGTAAACCGATGAAACTTTTTCGTGACCGGGATAGGGAATTGTAATTATTTCCCTTGAACGAGGAATTCCTAGTAAGTGTGAGTCATCAGCTCACGCTGATTACGTCCCTGCCCTTTGTACACACCGCCCGTCGCTGTCCGGGACTGAGCTGTTTCGAGAAACTTGAAGACTGTTACAGAAAGGCTTCGGCTTTGCTGTGATGAGAATCAATTTGATCGCAATGGCTTGAACCGGGCAAAAGTCGTAACAAGGTACCTGTAGGTGAACCTGCAGGTGGATCATCGTAGAATATGACCATTCCTTGTCTTTACATATAGTTATATAAAATTATTCTTGTAATGCTTTTATATAACTGTAATGTAATTTTAACCAAGCTCACGAAAGGTACTAATGCATTTCTATTGTCGTCTGAGCGGACGAATAAAAATAGAAATGAGAATAATTTTTTTCTTTAGTTTAATGGCACGCTTGGATGCCACCTTTCAAATGCCGGCATGTTATCATAACAAGCCTTAATTTTCAGAAATGAATGGCGTATTATAATTTTTTGATTATATATATTTATGTAAAAACTTTAAATAAGCTCTAGCGATGGATCGGTTGATTCACGTATCGATGAAAAACGCAGCTAGCTGCGATATTTACCATGAATTGCAGACGCTTTGATTGGTGATATTTTGAACGCACAGCATCTTCGAAACTTCTTTCGAAGGTACATCTGGTTCAGGGTTTTTTTTTGTATTTTAGTATGACCTGATTACTAAATAGACGGATTGCTATCGTTATATCAGATACCAATCTTAGTATAGTTGTGAACATAATAAGAAGAGCAGCAATGCCTTCTAGTTCATTATAGCCAGTTTCGTACAGGATAATAGTGTCTATGACTTGTTGACTATTATTATTCATGCCTGATTGTGTGTAACTGTTTGCTTAACATTTAAAACCTGAACTCAGTTGTGATTACCCGCTGAACTTAAGCATATTATTGAGCGGAGGAAAAGAAACTAACAAGGATTTCCAAAGTAACGGCGAGTGAACTGGAATGAGCCCAGCGCAGAATTACTCAGTGTTAACTGCTGTAAAATGTTGCGTATAAGAGTTGCTTTCAAATTGTTTCAATAACTCGAAGTCTCTTTGATAGGAGCCAACAGCCTGAGAGGGTGCAAGACCTGTACGAGCTATGAAATAATTTGTATTTGCGGTTCTTTTGAGTCGGGTTGCTTGAAAATGCAGCCTTAAGTTGGTGATAAACTTCATCTAAGGCTAAATATTGACGTGAAATCGATAGCAAACAAGTACCGTGAGGGAAAGTTGCAAAGAACTTTGAAGAGAGAGTTCAAGAGAACGTGAAATCGCTCGAGTGGAAGCAGAAAGAGCCAACGTTAAAGAATAGCTAGATTTTTTGTTCATCACTTAAATGTGAAAACTAAGAATGGATGCTATTCTAATTGTACCGGTAGCATTGGTTGTGTCAGCTAAACTGTTTGTTGTTGCCCACTTGTGGTGTCTCACAAATGAGGAAGCTGATTATAGCTATTGTTTTTTCTGCTTGCAGAATACCAGTATAAATGTTGGTCACCTTTCTGGCCCGTCTTGAAACACGGACCGAGGAGTGTAACTTATGCGCAAGTCTAAAAGTGGTAAACTTTATGGCGTAATGAAAGTAAAGATTAGTTTTCTAATTTACATTGGACTTGTTCTTTTGAACAAAGCACAATGGCCCTGTCTATATTGCATGCAATAGGGCAGAGGAAGAGCGTATAGGTTGCGACCCGAAAGATGGTGAACTATACTTGAGCAGGACGAAGCCAGAGGAAACTCTGGTGAAAGTCCGTATCGGTTCTGACGTGCAAATCGATCGATAGACTTGAGTATAGGGGCGAAAGACTAATCGAACCATCTAGTAGCTGGTTCCCTCCGAAGTTTCCCCCAGGATAGCTGAAGCTTTTTCGCTGTTATATCCGGTAAAGCGAATGATTAGAGGACTTGGGGTCGACATGACCTCGACCTATTCTCAAACTTTCAATGGGTATGATGTTTTGGTTTCTTCATTGAACTACTGACATGAAAGCGAGCTTCAAGTGGGCCATTTTTGGTAAGCAGAACTGGCGCTGTGGGATGAACCAAACGTTTGGTTAAGGTGCCTAACTTCTCGCTCATGAGACCCCATAAAAGGTGTTGGTTGATATAGACAGCAGGACGGTGGCCATGGAAGTCGGTACCCGCTAAGGAGTGTGTAACAACTCACCTGCCGAATCAACTAGCCCTGAAAATGGATGGCGCTTGAGCGAGAGACCTATACCGGACCATTGCAGGCTTGTGCTTTGACATGTGCCTGGCCGCAATGAGTAGGAGGGTCGTGGTGGTTGCATTGAAGGCTTTGGGCGTAGGCTCAGCTGGAGCTTCCATCAGTGCAGATCTCGGTGGTAGTAGCAAATATTCAAGTTCGATCCTTGAAGACTGAAGTGGAGAAGGGTTCCACGTGAACAGTAGTTGAATGTGGGTCAGTCGATCCTAAGGTACTGGCTAATGCCTTGTATCATCAAGAGGGAGAAGTTTACTTTTCTCTTGGATATCAAAAGGGAATAGGGTTAATATTCCCTAACTTGCATGCAGCGATTGCATCTCTTTGAGTTGTCTGCGCGGTAACGCATTCGAACTCGGTTACGTCGCTACAAGACCGAGCTAGAGTTTTCTTCTCTAGTTAAGGAACGGACTCCCTGGAATCGGATCATCCGGAGATGGGGACGTTGTTTCCGTAAAGTATCGCGGTTTCAGTGATATCTCGTGCTCTTGTAACGGCCCTTGAAAAACCGAGGGAGGCTATTAAGCTGCAGCAAATCGTACCGATATCCGCATCAGGTCTCCAAGGTGAACAGCCTCTAGTCGATAGAATAATGTAGGTAAGGGAAGTCGGCAAATTAGATCCGTAACTTCGGGAAAAGGATTGGCTCCAGTGATCGGGTCGGTTGGCTTGTTAATTGATATTTGGTTTGTCTTGTTCGTGACTGGTGCAACTTCGGTTGTGCTGGACTAGCAGTAAGACTGCCTTATAGACGTTGATGGGTGTGTACTTTGCTTTCGGGTTTAGTATCCTGATCGGTCATCTAAACGATCAAACTGGAACTGGTACGGACTCGGGGAATCCGACTGTCTAATTAAAACAGAGGAGACAGATGGTCCTTGCGGACGTTTACTGTCTCTGATTTCTGCCCAGTGCTCTGAATGTTAAATCGTAGTAATTCGAGTAAGCGCGGGTAAACGGCGGGAGTAACTATGACTCTCTTAAGGTAGCCAAATGCCTCGTCATCTAATTAGTGACGCGCATG